ATTTAAAAGTTAAATTTAATTAGAAAATTCCTAAGTCTACAAAATGTTAAAAGGCAATAGAGAGAAAGCAAAATAGAAGTTTGATTTATGAAGTTTTTTTTTTTTTTAAAAATGGAGCAGAGTGGTTTTTAAATTTTCTGAATGCTATGTCTCTTGAGAAATTGGATCATAGGACATTCGGTAACTGGTGAGATGGCAATTCTCACAGCTTTTAAAATATGATTCTCCAACTGCACTTAGAAATTTAAACCACAGAGTGACAGAGACAAATGTGCTAGACATGTGTCATCATTCCTTTTTCTTTCTTTGCTCCTCAGTGCAAATACCTGTACATGTATACATAGACAGAACATACGTATTCTGCCTACCCTGGATGGAGGACTTGGAGATTCCTTCTCTATTCCTGTTCCAAGAGTACCCAAGGTATAAAGATTCATTTCTATTGGAAATTAAATCTATCTCTGGAGAAGTAATTTTCATTTTATAAAGTCATATGTTATAAAACTTGAGAAATCATTCCCAGAGGGCCCCTTGGAAATGAGTCATAGAAGGACTGAACTTGAATCTGAAACAGCAATTAATCATGGGGCTCAAGCCTGTCAGGTTAACAAGCCAGATTGCTTCATTAAACGCAGAGGGCAGGAAGAAGTGAGAGCCCCGCAGCCGGTGTGGGCAAGGTCAAGAGCATAGGTTCCCTCCTCCTCAACAAGGAGGACACAAGAGCCTGTGCACACCGTGACTCAATGTCAGGGGATGACCTCTGTTTACACCTAGGTTAAATACTGAAACAAAATTCTAAGACTGAAACGCTGGAGCCTGCTGCAGTGTTAACCCCAAATAGCCAGGGTTGAAAACGGGGTGTTTCTCCCATCCAGACTGAAGAGTTGTGGGGAAGGGGGAAGAAAATGTGCGTTGTTATTTATAAACTTAGCCAGACTTCTGTATCTGTTTCGTGAGATTTGGGTGCGACGTCTCTCTCATTGCTCTCTATGCTTTTGCATTTCCAACAGAGTCATTTTGTAATTTAAGTACCTTTCCACTTCATTTTAAATCCGCAGGTGTCCTTGTGACCTCGATTTCCCGACAGTCATTTCTGCTGAGCTAACTAACCAAAACAGACATTCAGGGGCAAAAAATGAGAAAGCAAAAAATATTAATTTCCTTATCAAACTAAAAAGGTTGATGAAGCAGCTTGGCAAATACAGCAGACGGCAAGGCTCTGGGCAAATGCCAAGAAAGACCACCAAGCTTGTTTATTCCCAAGAACATAATCCAAAGCAGAGTATTCCATAATATCTGAGGTTCAAGGTCAAATTAATACTTCAGGCAAAAATGACACTTCTTTCTTTGTTTTCCCGGACCCAATCCTGAAACTTACAAAGCTCCAAACATCCAAACAGTGCAACAATTTCTCAGAAGCCGTTGGCCTGAAGTGTGGTGTAAGTTATGTTTATATGGAAAACACAGTCTATTTATTATATCTGTGTGTTTGCTGAACTTTATATAGGTGTGTATTTACTTGGCAACCATTGCCACTTTTTTCCCTGTGGGTACACACTGTTCCATGCCTGGAAAAGGTTTGCTACCTTCTGTGTGTGGCCGCTTTAAATGTCAAGGTTGCTGCTGCCATCCCTTCGGGCTCAGCCAGAATTATGTGCAAAATTGCTAGCCTTGCACAAGAAATGTCTTAAGAAACGGAGTAAGAACAGAACACAAACCCTTCCAGAAGTGTTTGCCTGGGTGCTTAGGTCACACACAGCTTTAAACATGCATCAGCTACTCATGCAATTGCCGGGAGATGCACCGTCACTGTGTAATTACTGCAGTTTTCAAAGGAATTAGCATGTAGTTACTATGAGCAACATGTTCTCGTTTGTGGAAACAATGCAATTAACTTGTCCTAGGTTAATAAATTAAAGGCAACACAGGCTCATCTAACAGCTGCTGAGAGGAGGGGTTGGCCGGCACCCACATTTGCCGTGAGCTCTTTGAACTTAATAGCCTCTGTGCTCTATGGGTGAGTCTTGCTTTGGGAGAGTTCAGTACATGCCAACATTTACAAAATGGGTATTAAAGAAAGTTTGAACATGCTTGACTAGGAGAAAAATGTTAGAGGGAAGAGGGAAAATGCAGCAGGAATGATAAGCCATAGCACTCCAATTTGTATATGAAATAGAATGGAAATAAGACATGCAGATGTATACCCTGGGTCCATCCACACTGGCGTATGGCCCTTGAGAAATCCATCAGGAACTCACATACTACAATTAGGAAGACAGCTCAATACCTGCACAATGACGCCTTGATTTTTAAACTGGGCCAAGGGGCTCTTTAACCCCTGCATCTTCTCTCATTTATATTTAATAATAATGGTTCTAGAGTTGATTGAAAAAGGCTGTTTCACATATTTGTTGAAATAATGACATATTCCAGTGGACAGTTTAATGATGAGGACTTTTTTTTTTCTTTTTATTTTGTATTTTGAGACACATTTCACTGTGTAGCTTTGGCTGTCCTGGAACTTGCTCTGTAGACCACACAGGTTTCAAACTCACAGAGATCCATGTGTCTCTGCCTCCCGAGTGCTGGGATTAAAGACATGCTCCTTTACTGCCCAGTTTATGAAGGCTTCTGTTTAGGCCTCCTGTAGTATTCTGCTTTGGAATGTTTTTAGAAAGTGACCCATCACCTCACTGCTTAGGTAATAGTTGCTAAAACTGGAGGGGAACTTCAGAGCACCAAGCTCTGGCATGGATCTGGCAGGTCTGGGTCTTGGTGGCATCTTAACTTTTTGGCAGTGGCACTTCATCAGCATGTTTACCCTGAGGTTAGCTCTGAGATGCCCTAACAGCTCATATAACAGCATTTCTGATCCTGTCTGTGAGGGTGTTTCTAAAAGAGGTGATGGCTTGAATCAATAGACCAAATAAAGAAGATCCACTCTTACCAATGTGGGCAGCAAACATTCAGTCCTCTGAAAGCCCAAATCAAACAAAAAGCAGAAACAGCAAATTTATTTTCTCCACAAGTTGAATTTAAGCTTCTGCTAGAAATGTCTGTGTCCTCAGGCTTGTACACTTAGATTGGTTCTCAAGCTTTGGGCTTGGGTTGAAACTGAGTGTCTTAGTTACTTTTCTATTGCTGTGATAAAACACTATGACCAAGGCAAATTACAAAAACAAGTGTTTATTTGGAATTATTCTTTCAGAGGGTTAGATTCCATGATGGTGGAGCAAAGGTGTTCCTGATGGTAACAGGAACATTAGAGAACTCATATTTTCATAGGTGAGTAGGAGACAGGGAGACACACTAGGGATGGTGTGAAACCTTAAAGCTCACCCTTAGTGACACAGTTCCTCTAACAAAACCACACCTTCTAATCCTTCTAAGACTAATCCAACCAACTAGAAACCAAGTATTCAAACACATGAGCCTGTGAGGGCCATATTCATTCAACCCACCACAATGAGCTTCCTTGAGCCTCCATCTTGCAAAAAGAAAATCATGGGACTTCATTAGTCTTAATAAGCATTGAATCTATCTATCTATCTATCTATCTATCTATCTATCTATCTATCTATCTATCTATCTATGTATCTATCTATCATCAATCTTCTTATCTACATTTCTATTAATCTGGGTTATATTTCTCTAGAGAAGGCTGAACACTCTACCACATAACATATGTGAACATCTCTCATTGGTTGGAATAATTAAGTTTAGCTTTAATGACTAGAAAGAATTGTCTTTCCTGTGTCTCCTGCTTGATTGGTAAATATAAGATTGTGTACATTTTCTTGACATCTGCCAACAATATGTCTAAAGGATGAGCCATTCAGTTACAAAGGCAGGCATTATACATTCTTGTTCAGCCCCTGGTTCTCCTCTTGTCTCTCCACTGTTGTCCATCTACTCTCAAGTTCACATAGACGTCCAGTGAGAAAATGGTAAAGTGATACAATTATTGTCTAACTGGAAGTGAATGAGATGCTCTTCTTTCCTGGCATTAGAGAGCCAAAGGCTCCATGCAGCTGTGTCAAAACTTCAAACCAAATATACTTTTCAACTTCTTTGAAAAATTTCATTATTTACTTATTTAAGTTTGAAGGGCACACGTAGAAGCCAGGGGACAACTTTCAGGAGTCAGTTCTCTCCTTTCAGCATATAGCTTACAGTGATAGAAGTCAGGTTTTCACCATCTTGTTGGCCCACATTATTTTACTGTTTTAAAAGAACATTTTGGAGACAGTGCCACTATGTCGTCCTGACTGGCCTGGGACTTGCTCTTAGACCAGGCTGGCCTTGAACTTGCAATGTTCTTCCTGCCTCTGCCTCCCAAATGCTGGAATTAAAGGCCTACACTATATCTGGATAAATATTTTACTTTTGATAGACCCTTTTGCATGTACATTTGGGCATTTTCTTTTTCTATGTTACAGTAAGTTCAGTAATGTTTCATTGTGTTTTATGTTCAAAACAAGACCCAAGTAGTCAATCTAACCTTTAAAAAGGACTTTTAAGCAGATGCCATTTGAAATTATATCTACATTTTAAAGAAAATACACAGTTAGCTTCTGGACTAAAGGTAGATCTTATTCTAGGATATTTAGATAGAATTCTAACAGAATCTTAAGTTGAATAAGCATGATATTCACATATTTAGCAGACTTTATTGTTGAAATATCACTTGAAAATTAATTTATTGATAAAAAATATTCTTTGTTAGTTAAAATGGAAGATGAATTGATTTTGTAATAGTTTCATTAAAATAATGGCATTTTTATATGTATATGTCTGGGTGTATGCATATTTGTAATATGTGCAAGTTTGTGGTACATGTCCACATGTGTATGCTTGCACATAGAAGCCAGAAGATAGCTTTAGGTGTCATTCCTCAGACACTGCCCACTTTTTTTATTTTGAGATGGAGTCCTCATTTCCCTGCAGTTCACCAAGTAGGCTAGGCTAGCCAGCAATGGTACTGCAGAGATCTGCCTGTCTCCAACACTCCAAGAATGGGTCACAATGCATAACTTTATTTGGTGATTATTATTTGTTTTTTACTGGAACAAGTTTTCATGCAATATATTCTGGTGACACTTTTCCCTCCTCTAGCTCCTCTCATATGTTTCCTACTCCCCCACTCACTCAAAGCCATATCTATTCTCCTTTTCTTAAAGAACAAGGAATGCACACACACACACACACACACACACACACACACACACACACACTCACACAGCCAAAAAGCAAGCAAAAGACTAATATGACAAAAAAAAAGCCCAAACAAAGCAATATGAAGAAAAGAAAACCCTACAAAAATACCATTGCGTTCACTTTTCGTTTGGTGAACAACTGTGCACAGGGCCCACCCTGAAGTGTGGTTAGTATACCCAATGAGACTCCACTGGAGAAAACTGATTTTCCCATTGCAAGAAGATGTCAATTGTACATAGCTTCTTGGTTAAGCCATGTCCACTTCCTTCTCAGTGCTGGGAACTTATCCCGTTCGAACCTGTGCAAACCCTGTGTGTGCTGCCACAGCCACTGAGTTCGCCTGTGCATCAGTTCTGTTGTGTTTGGAAGACGTTGTTTTCTTAGAGCCGTCTCCCTTCTCTGGGTCTGTGTTCCCATCGACTGAAAGAGGAAGCCTCCCCGATGATGGATGAGCAAGATCTATGGGTATAACAAAATGTTATTATGAGTCATTTTATAATGGAGAGGTTTTTTTTTTGTTTGTTTTGTTTTTTTAAACTTGGACTCTGGGATCAAACTCAGTTTCTCTTGTTTTCAAGGCAAACATTTAAACACAGAGTCATCTTTCCTGCCCAATAATGTTAAAGAATAACCATGTGTGTGGGCAGAAGCACAGTTCAGTTGTTAAGAGCGCATAGTAGTCTAGCAGGCGATCTGAGGAGAGCTCTCAGCACCTGTGTCGAGTGCCTCACAATTACCTGTAGCCCTAACTGCAGGGGATTGGATGTGTCTGACCTCTGTGGGACCATGCACTCATGTGAATATACCCTCACATAGACACAGGCACATAATTAAAAACAATAAAATGTATAAAAATGTTTTGTATTATCTCAATATTATTTTAGTGGTCTTTAGTTAATGCCCATTCTGCTATCTACTATACTTGCTTTGATTGTCAGTTCAAAATTAGAAGATAAAATTTATTTTTAAATGTCTTTTCAAAGAGTTTGGTATTCATATAAAGTATGTCAAAAGTTTTATCAAGATTCAACACTGGAATTTTCTTTTTCCACATGATTGTGTATGTGTGGATGATGTTTGTGTGTGCATTCACATGTATGTGGGGTCACATATATGCTGTCTGGTTGTGTATATATCTATGTGTGTGTGTGCATTCACATGTATGTGGATTTACATACATGCAGTCTCGTTGTGTATATATTTATGTGTGTGTGTGTGCATTTGCATGTATGTGAATTCACATACATGTAGTCAGGTTGTGTATATATTTATGTGTGTGTGTACATTCACATGTATGTGGATTCACATACATGCAGTCTGGTTGTGTATATATTTATGTGTGTGTGTGTGTGTGTGTGTGTATAAAACGGCATTTGATGTCAGATGTATTTCTCCATCACTTTCCACTGTTTCCTGGGTCTCCTGCTTTACCTAGTACTCTCTAGTCTGGTCAGTCCAGCTAGCTGGTGTGCCTGGGGATTCCTGTCTACACCTTTCAAATTCTTGGCTAACAGGCAAACTGACAAACCAATCTTGCTTCTATGTGGTGCTGGGATTGAACTCTGGTCCTCACATTTGTGTGGTAAGCATTTATCACTGAGCCATCTCCCTGGACTCCAACAGTCTTAATTTTTCAATTAGTTTAACTTTGTGCTGTAAGATTCTATTTTGTATAACAACAATGAAAGTTTATAAGCCTTAAATAACATATATTTTCTTATTTCCTTAGACATTTTTTTAAAAAAGACAGCTTATATAGGGCTTATTTGTTAAATAAATGAAAGAGAAAAGGTTGCGTTTATGATAAAAGCTAAAAGAATGCCTGAGCAAAGAGGTGCTTGCAATGGCTTTCTCCTCATGAAGGCATGGAACAGAGTCGTGGGCTGTCTAGGAATGGGGGTGGCTCCACAGAGTTCCATTTTTGACTACCTGAATCATCCTGGGTAAATTAGCTAGCAACACTACCTTTGCCTCTTCTCATTTGCAGAAGGACTTAGCCCATATGAAGTCAGGATATATTTAGAGCATGAAGCATTGTAATACGCATTATCATTATGACAAAAGATTTATATTCTCAACATCAAACTTCAAGACACTTCTCTTAGAAGCAATGAATCTCTGCACGGGTTATCTGTCATTATGAGTTTAATCTAATCAGAAAAGCAGCTGGATGTTATTAATATGAAAAGACCTCCCTGGTGTTTAGTATTGATTCACTGATTACATGGTTTTAGCATCATAGCAGTAGATGAGAATTTTAAAACCTGATTACCATCAAAACCAGTAAATTAAAGGGACATGTTCCTGACAACCACTTGTCTTCTCTAAGAGGATTGCTGCATATGATCTTGGTGACTATCTCAGAGCAAGTCATCGAGGGGGAAATGGAAGAAACATTATGGCCTGTGAACATAATTCTTTTTTTAAAAAACTTGATTTTTAATTGGTTTTATTGAGCTGTATGTATTTCTATGCTCTCCTCCCTTCCTCTCCCCTTCCTTTCTACCCTTTCCCAGGGTGCCCATGCTCCAAATTTACTCAGGAGATCTTATCTTCTTCTACTTCCCATATAGATCTAATCCATGAGTCCTCGTTGTTGTCTAGGTTCTCTGGGATTATTAATTGTAGGCTGGTTTTCCTTGCTTTATTTCTAAAAGTCACTTATGAGTGAGTACATATGATATTTGTTTTTATAGGTCTGGGTTACCTCACTCAATATGATGTTTTCTAGATCCATTCATTTGCCTGCAAATTTAAAGATGTCATTAATTTTTTCAACTGTGTAGTACTCCATTGTGTAAATGTGCCACATTTTCCTTATCCATTCTTTGGTAGAGGGGCATTTAGGTTGTTTCCAGATTCTTGTGATGACAAACAATGCTGCTAGAACATAGTTGAGCACATGTCCTTGTGGTACAATTAAGCATCCTTTAGATATATACCCAAAAGTGGTATCACTGGGTCTTGAGGAAGGTTGTTTCCTAATTTTCTGAGAAATTGCTATACTAACATCCAGAGGGATTGTACCAGCTTGCATTCCCATCAGCAATGCAGGAGTGCTCCCTTTCCCCCACAACCTCTCCAGCATAAGTTGTCATCAGTGTTTTTGATCCTGGTCACTCTTACAGGTATAAGATTGAATCTCAGAGTTGTTTTTGGTTTGCCTTTTTCTGATGGCTAAGGATGTTGAACATTTCCCTAAGTGTCTTTCAGACATTTTAGATTCATCTGTTAAAAGTTCTCTGTTTAAATCTGTACTCCATTTTTTTATTGAATTATTTGTTCTTTTGATGACCAATTTCTTGAGTTCTTTGTATATTTTGGAGATCAGCCCTCTGTCCTCTGTGGAGTTGGTGAAAAATCTCACCCCCTCTTTTTTTGTTTTTTGTTTTACAATACAGGGTTTCTCTGTAGCTTTGTAGCCTGTCCTGGAACTAGCTCTTGTAGACAAGGCTGGCCTCAAACTCACAGAGATTTATTTGTCTGCCTCTGCCTCCAGAGTGCTGGGTGGGATTAAAGGCGTGGGCTACCACCGCCTGGCTTCTTTTCCCATTTTGTAGGTTGCTGTTATGTCTAGTTGACCCTGTCCTTTGCATTACAGAAACTTTTCAGTTTCAGGAGGTCCCAGTTATTAATCGCTTCTCTCAGTGTCTGTGCTACTGGAGTTATATTTAGGAAGTGGTCTCCTGTGCCAATGTGTTCAAGTGTACATCCTACTTTCTCTTCTATGAGGTTCAGTGTGGTTGGTTTTATGTTGAGGTCTTTCATCCATTTGGACATGTAGAAGAATGAAAATAGATCCCTATCTGTTGCCATGAACATAATTCTTATCATTATAAAATTTACATGATTTTTCTATATATTTACTTCTGTTTTTCTTCCAATTCTTTCATTGAACCCTATTCTGTTATTTTTGAGCTAGGGACTCTTGTAGCCTAGGGTAGCCTTGAACTTGCTATGTAGACGAGGATGACCTTGAATTACTCTTTGTCTCTTTGTCCTAAATGCTAAGATTACAGGCATGTGCTATCATGCCAGAAACTCATTGGAATAACTAACAGGCTCATTGTAAATTAACAAGATGTTTGACATTTAGAAACTTCTATGTATGTATGTGTGTATATATGTAAGTATCAATCAATCCTCTACCTGTCTATCTATACCCACCAAAAAGTTTTGCTCTACAGCTTAGGGTAACCTTGAACTCATATTCTTCTCATTCTTGTTGCTCCAGCGCTAGGATTATAGCATGCCCCACCACACCCTGCTAGTATCAGTATCTCGCTGAGTAAAATGCACTAGTGATTCAGTAAATGAATAGGTGCAGAGATGACAACTCTTCCGTAAGGCCTCCTTTGGACATGTGTCTTGGTAATAGGCACTAAACATTGTACGTCAATGATGAGTGTCTAATTAAAACCACCAGCACTTCCTGCGTCCCAGCTGAAGTCAGAACTGTTTTGAATTATCCGTGTCCCTGTTCTTTTTTTTGCTTTTTAATTATTTTATTTTATTTATTTTATTTTTTTTGAAAGTAAATTTTATTAAATTATAAAAGTTTCCATTTCCGCCCCTCTTCCCAACACCCTCCCACTCCCCCCACTCCCTCTCCTCCTCCCTCTTCGTCCCTTAGGGCAGTCAGGGTCTCCTGCCCTGTGGGAAGTTCAAGTTCCTCCCCCGTCCCTCCAGGTCCAGGAAGGTGAGTATCCAAACAGACTGGATCCCCAAAATCCAGTATATGCAGAGGAAACAAGTCCCAGTATCATAGTCAATGGCTTTTCAGAAAGACTTCGGGCCAGCCACATTCAGAGAATCCGGCCAAATTCCGAGAATCTGGTTAGATCACGTCCTCGTTCAGTCCCAGTCCAACTGGCCTTGGTAAACTCTCATTAGATCCGTTCCCTTGTATCAGTGGGTGATAGCATCCCTCGCAGTCCTGATTTCCTTTTTCATGTTCTTCGTCCTTCTGCTCCTCATTTGGACCTTGGGGGGCTCAGTCCAGTGCTCCAATGTGGGTCTCCGTCTGTATCGCCGTCCTTCGCCAGATGAAGGATCTATGGTGATAAGCAAAATATACATCAGTATGGTTATGGGCCACGGCCGGTTCAGGCACCCTCTCCTCTGTCCAGAGAACAATCTGGGGGATCTCTCCTTGGACCTGGGATCCCATATATAATCAAGTCTCCTGTAAACCCTAAAATGACTCCCTTAGTTGAAATATATTCTTCCCTGATCCCATATTCATCCTTCCTCCCTCTCCCCCCGCCATCCCAGGCCACCGAGCTTTCCCCATTCCTCCCCTACTCCCTTCTCTCTAACCCTCTCCCCTTCCATCAACCCTCCCCGCCCATGCACCCGAGGTTACCTGGGCCGTGTCCCTGTTCTTAGTGCTTGACAACAACCTACCAGTCTGCTGAGGAGGCCACGTGACCATAGCTCAACAACTATTCTTTCAGTAC